GTTTCAATTCAAGGCATTGATACTTTCTGATTTAAACCTAAACAGTATTCCACAATTTCTCTTTTATCAACAAAAATTGAGAGTAATTGATCTTTCTCACAACAAGTTGAAAGAAGAGTTCCCTGTTTGGCTGCTGCAAAACAATTCGAACCTCAAATTTATGAATCTCAGGAATAATTCTTTTGTTGGTCAACTCTATTTGCCATCATATGAAATTAGAAATATGGTTTGGTTGGATCTCTCAAACAATCATTTCACTGGAAAGTTACTAGAGGACTTTGGGGACAAACTTCTTGGCTTACAGTATCTTAATTTGTCTCACAATCAGTTTGAAGGTACTCTCCCAAGTAGTCTTGGTAATATGAGAGATTTGGCAAAGTTGGATTTGGCCTTCAATTTTTTCTCAGGAGAAGTCCCTAACGAATTACTTGTGAGCTGTAGCAATTTGCAACATTTGAGGTTGTCTTACAATAGACTTAGTGGCCAATTTTTCTCATCTAAATTCAACTTGAGCACTTTGTTACAACTAGAATTAAACAACAATGGGTTCACTGGAAGCTTGTTGAATGTGAAGCTTGAGACATTGGACATATTAGATGTTAGCAACAACTACTTGAGGGGTCCAATTCCTACCTGGGCTAATAAGGTGAGTTGGTTAATTTCAATGAGGAATAACTCTTTTGATGGTAGATCTATATTATATTGTTTTGAATTTGATTAGGCAAAATCTAACTAGTAAAGAAATACATGGGTGCAATATACTAATAATAACTTTTTTTTTACCATCATATCAGGTGAGTTGGTTAATTTCAATGAGGAATAACTCTTTTGAAGGCCAATTTCCGTGCCAACAACCTATGTCTGGATTGTTGCTTTTTCTGGATGTCTCTCATAATCTTCTTTCCGGTCGTCCACCTTCTTGCATTGATTTCACCAATATAGCTGAGATTCATTTAGAAGGGAACAAGTTCACAGGATTGTTGCAAGATTTTCTTCCCAATTCCTCAAGTAGTCTTTCTGTGTTGAATCTCAGAGATAACAACTTGTCCGGCTTCATTCCTGACTTGATTGGTACATTTCTAAATCTAAAACTTCTTCTATTGGGAAAAAATCATTTAAAGGGTTCAATCCCAAAAACATTGTGTTTATTGAAGAATATAACTATAATGGATCTTTCTAGCAACTCTTTGTCTGGAACAATACCCTATTGTTTCCAAAATTTAACCTTTGGGATGATGGAGAATTATGGTGAAACTTTTATACAAGATCAATTGCAGATTTTGAGTGAGTTTGTTGATGAAAATCACATATATGGAGATCTCATAAAGAAGAATCTGGATCTTGTCATAGAAATTAAGGTTGTTGAAGGATTGAATGAGATTTATCTGGTTGATAAAAATAGGGGAAGTATTTACGAGGGTAGTATACTAAATCTCATGTCTGCTCTTGACATGTCTTGTAATGATCTGACTGGAGAAATCCCTCAAGAGCTTGGAAAGTTCGCTCAGATTCGTGCTTTGAACTTATCTCATAATCAATTAACGGGTCCTATTCCAATCACTTTGTCAAAACTATCTGAGATTGAAAGCTTGGACCTTTGCTGCAATAATCTAAGTGGAAATATCCCTTCAGAGTTGACCAACCTAAACTTCTTAGAGGTCTTCAACGTGTCATATAACAACTTATCTGGCCAGATTCCAATGAAAGGACAGTTTTCAACATTCGAGGAGAGTAGCTATAAAGGAAACCAG